GCATTGGCTCGGGTTCTGCAGAGGTTACAAACAGTTTAATACTGAAATGAACATCAGAAAGCATGGTTTTTGATGCTGTTGCACTCCGCCCTGCTCAATTCTATTCTCCTACCCTCTACTACATTGCTAAAAACATGCCACTAGAATCACGGCTCGAATGACGTGGTGGAAGGCTCACACGGACAATAATCCCTTAACTACCAATCAGTCACCTTGACAGCATATTCCCTCTATATGCATTTCACTAACCAGTTAACTGGTCATTTAAAAGAACATCAATTTTTGCGTTCAAATACATTCCACACCTACAACTACATCTGCGTTTGCAACCAATCTCACATCTGGCGCCATCCTTGTTCAAGGACATTATCGATTATTGATAGACTGGTTACTCGTCTAATTTGTTTATCAATAAAGCTATAAATAACGGCACGTCCAAATAGTGCTTAAAATAATGTTTAAATTGCTCCCGAGTTGCTCATAATATGCACGAAATTCGTCACTTCACTTTAAGCTCATCCATCAACTCTTCCCAATTCTTCATTCCTCTTTTCATCTACTACCAATACTGCATTCGGCAATCATATTGTATAAGTACTAATTTAACTAGCTAACCTTCTGCTGGTTATTCTCTTTCCTTCAGCGATGAGTAATGGAATAAGTTATGGAGGCTGGAAAGTGCAAGGATTTGCTGCGGTAATAGTAAGCCCAAGTGCTTGAAGCAAGGGAGAGGTGAATAAGGCCATTATGAGGAAGGACGGACAGGTCACGATCCATGAGCATCCATGCATTTTTGTCATTTGCATCCCAGCGTTTCCATCATTTCGGCTTATTTTATCTCCCCCATTAACGCTTTTTGTCATGACAATAATTTAAATTTTAGCTGATTTGTAGACCTGACAAGTCAGAAGCCGAATTGCAAGCATATTAATTGGCAGAGTCGTAAGTGAAATTGAAAGCAGAGGAAGAAGAGAATCTCAGCTTTTCCTCAACTCTACAAATACACCGTCCGTCATGGTGCAGGGATCTCAATGAATCGCACTTCCTGTTTGACCTAAAGTAAAAGCTGTCCCATCTCATCTCTTTCTAATCGACTTCACCTCATCTCATGTCTCGCCTCTCACCTCTAGCAATTACAGTATGGAAGGCGTTTTCTTCGTGGAGTACATGAGGAATTGAGACGTCTGCTCTGCAGATGCGTCCTTGGACCATGAAACAAGGATTGAGAGGTTAGCAGTGAGGGGGTAACAGAGGAGAGTGATAAACAAGGAGTGAATTAGGGTAGTTACTGTACATTCCAATGTTT